CGTGTAAAATACAGTTGTTTCCTCTGAAACAAAAGTGTGTAATGGCAGACAGCTAGTTACTTGTGTGAGCGCGTCAGAAATTATGGCTTATTTTGTCCAAGTAGTTACGAGACATAACCTTTCGAAGGCATGCAGTATCACGAACAAGCTCATAGATATAAAGTTACTTTCAAAGCAGCATATTCGACATCTTCCCAGGTGGTCCCACAGAAGACCTATTCGAGTTATTTATGGAGAAGATTTAAGCAACGACCAGGTTAATTATGAAAAGAAATTGAAAATTGAAAGAGAGAGCATTCAGTCTCTAACGAAGGACCAGGAAGATCTGCTTGAAAATGCGGATATGACAGTTAAGGATAAGGAAACTGTAATTGATATTACTAAATCAATTAATACTTCCTTTTACAAATCTACCGCAAACGTAAATTATGATACTAAACATACAAAGCTTGAATCAAAGCTGCACAGTACTTGGGATCATGTAAGTGATGAACCGAAGGTATCTAAGGTAGAAAAGTCTCAAAAGAGTAACCTACAGTCAAATACGAGAAAGGGGCGGAAGTTGGAGGCAAAGCTGGAAAGGAAAACCATTAAAGTGAAAGAGAGTGCTGTCAGAGCAGGAGTACCTGTGTATACCAAGTTACAAGATAATGATCCTAAATTTAGGTGAGTAAATAGAACCAGATCTGGAGTAAAATTTAAAGCATGTGTCATAATATAAAGCAACATAATCGATCCTAAAAGTTTTATAAATTGTGTTGCATTGAGACATGATGCTACCAGATACTGTAAGTGTAATGTGTGCAAAAATGACAAAATTCAGGCATCCCGTTGTGAAGTATATACCTAATTTGACTTGATTTTGTGTGGGTACAGTAGGTTTTGGGTGATGTAGCCCTTGTTAAGGCATTTGTAAATTGTATTGTTACCAGAAACTTGCATCTTACAAACATAGTAGGGAAATATCATAAGGCACCATGGAAATCTGGTACCTGAAATTTTTTCATGGCTGTATACATTAATATAAGATGAACAATTAAAAATTAAACACAACTGTTATTTAATATTGGGGAAATTGTTTTAGAGAATACAAGATTTCATGTCTCTCTATGCAATAAAACATTAATGCTGTACACTGTAACAAAAGTTAAATCTACAATGTTTTGTAATATATATCCTGCATCTACTTCCATCTTCTTTAATCTGCATTATTTAATGTTCCTCTGCTATATTTTGAATTGTTTGTAGTATTAATCATCTGTTTATTTTAACACATCTGATAGTGTTACATTCTTAAGTCATAATATAGGTCCATAGAATTTCAAAGTGTCACTGCACTTTAGTTGGGCAATTCTTTTGGCAATGAAAATCAAACCTGTTTCCCATATGGTGACAAGTACTCTAGAGTGGTGCATAAATCTGCCATTGCACAACCAAATATGTGTTTTTTGTATCAGAAGAAGTGTAAGAAATGATAGACTATTTTTACATTGTTTAATATCTTCATTCTGAACTACTTCTCTTGTGTTATCATGGCTGAAACAAAGAGGTGATGGCCTATCTTAAGTATTCAAATGAAAGTGTACAGTAGACAGAAAATGAAGCGATAACACATATTGAGAGATAACCCTGTCCTTTCTTCTATACTGTCAGATGTGAAATTATTAAGCTTAGGCTGTAGAAGTAGCATGTAGGCATTAAGGAATGTCTTGCTTTTCTAGTGTTTTATAGTTTCTTTGGATAACAAAATACAATGTATTTTAAAAGTCAGTGAATCAAAATGCCACTGATTGTGTCAAAATTAATAGACAAAAAAAAATTTCAGTTATAATATACATATATACAAGGGTACAGACATAGATAATTCCCTACTTGATGCTGAACCCAAAGGATGATACAGTGAATAGTGGTCACTGTGAAAACATACTGTTATGTTATATAAATATCACTCCATGTTTATTGTGATCAGAAATGTTTAGCTAACCCTGTCTGCATTTTTTACTTGTTTAGCATATGTGTATTCATTTCCCATGTTTTTGCATTTTCAGCAATGCTATGTTAATTGCAAAGTCAAAAAACAGGAAGAAGAAAAGAAGTCTCATTGTTCTTGAGGGGAAAAGATTAATTAAGGATGCTATAGAAGCAGGTTATGTTCCCCAGATGGTTTTCTTCAGTAGAGTTAAAGATGCTGGAGATCTCCATCTTCCTGATGGTGTTCAGTTGTATAAAATTTCATACAAATCAATTTCATTGTGGTCAGACGTAACCACATCACCTGGAATTTTGGGTAAGTGTGCATTAGTAATTTGGATTGTTGGTTTATACAAATTAATCATATACAAACTTTCTAAGCCCTGTTGAGCATATGAGGAAAAATAATTCTGATTTTGCACATTTTGTCTCTACAAGAGCTGGTGACTGCATTTTGGGATGTTCATGGCGTATTTGTTGCTGATTTCATGGAACGAGGGGCAACCATTAATTCTGAATGTTGTATTGAATCCTTAAATAAGTTGATGAAAAGATTCAAAAGAGTTTGGAACAAAAACCATGCAATCCTTTCCTTGAAAACGCTAGACCTCACATCAGTGCTCGAGCACGAGAAGCGGTAGAACGTCTGGGTTTTTCCATCTTGCCTCATTTCCCACACATCCCTGATTTGGCACCGAGTGATTATTAAGTCCTCCCTGAGCTCAGGGATCATGTATGGGGCCAGCATTCTGGGTCAGATGAAGAAGTGAAATTTGCTGTGAGAAAATTTTTTTGAAAACAAAACTCAGAGTTTTACAAGAACGGATTTAAAAAAATTGTATATTGTTGGTGCAAGTGTATTGAAGTAGAAGGTGACTATGTAGAAAATTAATGGATCATTTTGATGAAGAAACTCTAAACTTTGTTTCATTAAATAATTCCTTCTCATTCATGTTTTATTTATGAGGAGGCATTACTTTTCAGCCCACTCTTGTAAATCTCATTAAGATTTTTAACCTTATTTGCATAATTTATTGATTGGCGATTGTTTAAGAAAATAAAGAGACTGTCTATAGGTTTTTAGAAACACAGTATCTTATTATCAGATTTATTTATATTAATAGACTGTCCTATGTTAATACAGCTACAACTTATTTAACTTTGTGGAACTTGTCAGCAACTGTCTCGTTTATTATGATGTCATATTGTAATGCCAGAAAACTTCTGTTACACATCCACTGTGTATTTGCCTCTATGTATAAACACAGATCCCACTAAACTATCCTAGCTTTTAGATGCAGGATCATGAATTGTTAAACCTGTGGGAGTAAGAATTTGAATTAAAAATATATTATTAGTCAGTACAACATTTCATAACATACACATAAAAATTCACTTTTTACCTGTAAGCGAAGATGGTGCATGAAAGTTTTGTAAGGTATAGTATTGTTCTGATTAATTATTTTAGTGATTTTTAATTTTACTTGTGACATACTGCTGTGTTATGCGTAAATTTATTATTTTATTTTTGCAGTCAAACACATCCCTCCCACAAGTTGTGTTTGATTGCAAAAATAAAATAATCTACTGTAGTTATATCAATGATGTTTCAATCACTGTGGATAAAGAAAGACTGTTCCTGTTTGTCCTTCACTATATGTAACTGTCTTCTTGTCTTCATGGGTAAAGCATTTTAATGTTGCTGCTGGTAGTTGTTTTCTTTCCATCTCTCTTGTACAGCCTTGTACTGAGAAAATTGTGTTTTTGAAAATGTTTTCAGGTATTTTAGAAACCCCATCTGTTGACAAAAAGAAGCCTGGGAAAGATGCCTTGCCTTTAACAATTATCTGCGACAATATTCGTGATCCTGGAAATTTGGGCACCATTCTGAGAGCAGCTGCAGGAGTAGGCTGCCAGAAAGTGATCCTTACAAAAGGTTTGTTTATAACTGATTAATTAACTGCCACGGTGGTCTGGCGGTTAGAACGCTGGGTTTGTAGTATTGGGGTCCTGGGTTCGATTTCCGGTGGTGCTCAGATTTACAACTTGTGTTGGGCAAAGCCATGGTCTAAGCATCACGGAGTTTTCCTCCGGGGTTTCCCCGCTTTCTCCGTGGCATCCCAACAATTGGTCCACTTTCATCTCATTTCGCAAAAAGGGGGTCACAGCAGGAGCGTTAAATGTCACAGTCCCAGTCAAACCCATGTACTGATGGGTCGTGAATCCTGCAAACCACCAGTGCACACCATGCTGAATGGTGTGTACTGGACATGAAAAAAAAACTGATTAAATACTTTATAATATTAAGCTGATAAAAGACCTAAGAAAAATAGGAAAGATTCTGTTTTTATACCCATAATAGGCAATGAGGGCCTGGAAAGAGACCATGTGGGACATGGAGATGATGTGAGGACAGTGTGTGAATGAACTATAGTAGTGTCTATAGCCAGTCACTATATTGAGTGAGCTATCTTGGCTCATGACTAATATGTAAAATGATGTAAATTCTTAACATTTTTCATGGTCATAAAAACAGTTGAAAGTGTTGAATAGAATGACTAAATGATTGTTAAATATTTCATGTAGAAGAAAGAAGAATGTCATGTGCTATATTAAATATACTTTAATTTTTATGTTGTTCATGAATTAATTAAATATTTGCATGGTAGCTGGATGAGTCAGCACATATTTACAGCCTCTTATATTTACGATATATGGAAAAATCCTGTATGCGAGCCACTGATTGCTGACCCCTGGCCTATATCTTTCAAGTGGTCACTTTGAGCTTTTATGAACAAAATTTTGTATGCATTTCTGATTTTTCCATGTGTGTTGCATGTCATACCCAGCTTATCTTCCTTAGTTTGTTTATCCTAATTATATTTGGTGAAGAGTTATGTATTCATTTTTTATTATTTTTATGTTGGTGTTCTTCACATTGTAGAATGAGTGAAGAACACCATATGGACCTGTCTCTGCCCGTTTGTCTTGCATTTTCATACTAACAAGGCAACCCACATTACCTGGGAACACTGTTGAAACACATTGTTACACAACAATAGGAACTGAGACCATTGGTCGATACATTATTAATGTTGTATTTTTTAGTTTTGGTATATTTATTTTATGGCAAATTAACATAATCTGCATACACCGGAAGCTGATGTGACTCATTCAGTTCCAGTCCCTTCTAAAAATATAATTCTGGTTCCATATTGACAGAGCTTTGTCCCTTGGCCTATGGAAGAATTAACTGATGATGATTATAATTTTTAGGATGTGTTGACCTCTGGGAGCCAAAGGTGTTAAGGAGTGGTGCAGGATCCCATTTTCGAACTGCGATTGTCAGTGGTGTAGAATGGAATGAAATAGAGAGACACGTGGATAGTGAAGCTAGTGTGTTTCTTGCTGACAACAGTGGACAGATTCTGGATGACATCCAAGAAAAGGAAGAAGAAGAAAATGTTGACAACTCCAATGAATTAATACGTGGAGATGAAGTGAATGTAGAAATTTTAGAATCTCTGATGTACAAAAACAGGCTAAGCAGTATTCCTGTTATACCATACTTTGCTGTTGACTATGCAAATCAGATTTCTGTCATATTAATAATTGGTGGGGAGACCGAAGGTTTAAGCATTGATGCATTCAGATTGGCCTCTGATAGATGTGGTGTCAGACTTAATGTTCCATTGAGTAATAATGTTGAAAGTCTTAATTCTGGTACAGCCTTGGGCATTATTGTATTTGAAATAAAAAGACAGTTTCTGTCAAAATTCCACCTGAAAGTTGGGGAAAGAAGTGAAGACATGGAGAAAATTCATGTGCCTAATGTGTAATGCACTCTTGTCTCTCAGTGGCGTAACTATATTTGTAGTTCATAAATAATAAAAGAAGTTTTTCTTGTAATTGTGTTTCGTATGCGTATGTACCTACATTTAGTTTTGAATTATTGGATCATTTTGGAAGTATTGTACATGAGCTTTGTAACAGCTGCTTTATCATTCATGGAACATTACTCTTTCGTAGCTATAGTGAGCCTTTAAAGCAAAAGTTTTATAAACCGAAAACTATTAGAAGGCGACCGCTGTGTAATATTTCTTCACTCATCATTTGGTTACAACAGTTCTTGCTCAACAAGAGTGCTAACATCTGGTCTGCTATTTTGTGATTATGTTGCAGAAATCCATTTACTTGAGCAATGTTTTCATCAGTGCAGGTTGGCATGACATGTTGTCATCTTCGGATCTTTCCATTTAATTGTGGAAAAGATAATACCGCTCAGAAATAGCTGAATATTAGCTGAGAGCCTGCAGTGTTACCATAGGAAAATTCGGCAAATGCTTAAGTTTATCAATCTTTTTTGCCCAAAAGGTTATAGCCCTGATCATTTGGTGTGTATCATTGAATATCATAAGAAGAAACTGTCATTCTTAAACATAAAATCATTTTATTATATAGTATTATATGCAGTAATTAGTTTAAAATATAACTGTTAGGATTTTACACATTCATTATTCATGAATATAAATAGCAGGTGGGCCATATTCATTGTCAGATTACTTGTAGCATACATGTATCTTCCACATACTTGAAGACGTAAACAGTTTCCTGTAGCAGAGTTTCTGGCATTTATAATTCATCCTTCTCTAAAACATAACATACAACTCATCTTTAAAATATGATGGCTTTAACTGTGCTTCCAGTACAGGCAGCCCTCGATTTACGCCGGGGATGCATTCCTGGACAAACCGGCGTAAATTTAAACTCTTTTATAATGTAAATCAGTGGGAAGTAAATGACATGCGTTTCCAGCACCCAAACATTGACGAGTAATATAATGGCGTTACATTTCAAGCTCTCAATAACGTAAATAAGGGAATTTAAAAAATATATTTTATACATTAAAACTTTGCATACCGTGTAGTGTATTAGAACAAAAAATAAGCAAACAAACAAACTATTAACACTAGTGTCTTTTTTATAGTGTTAATAGTTTGTTTGCTTATTTTATATTTTATACACTGATGTTAAAAGTTTAGCAATGGTATCCTAAGAAGGAAGAGGTAAATATTATTAATAAAATATTTTAATTTCTCTTCTAATGAATAAGCTTATGAATTGCTTTTACTATCATCTTGTTTATTAAATGTAATTATATTTTAAAGTAATGTGAGATCACAAACTGAAAATTCTACTTCATATGTTCATCGCCGTTTATGATTATTTAGTCTGTTCTTAATTCTGAACATTCTGTGTAAATGTTTCTCGACCTTTAACGTGTGACGGCGCAGTTAAATAGCTCCACGTCTCACCACAAAAAAATAATGAATCACTGAGCGTGACTTTGCATGAACTGTGCTTACAGCATTCTATAGTCGGCGCAGTAGTTTCTGGCCAGTGGAGAAGCTAGCGGGGCTGGCGGACGGGCCTACTCTGTGTACCTGAGATCGCACAGTCAGTGTACAGGTAACCCTCGATTTACGCTGGGGATGCGTTCCTGGACGAATCTGCGTATATTGAAACTCTTTTATAATGTAAATCAATGGGAAGTCACTGAAATGCATTCCCAGCACCCAAACATTGATGAGTAATATAATGACATTACATTTGAAGCTCTGAAATAATGTAAATAAAATAAAGGGAATTTAAAAATATATTTTATACACTTACAATCGGCAATTTGTTGGTCCCAGCGATTGACTGCGATTCTTTCATGTGATTGATGTGTACAGTCATCTCTGCTGTTATGCGATAGTTGCATACATGTAAGACGCCGACCTATAGAAAATCGCGTAGTAAAAATAACCCGGGTACCTCCGCAGAGATTAAATTAGCCCTTTGAAAGTTTAAAGGGCCAGGAATGAAATTGCATAAGAGCAAACTCGCATATGCAAAAGTTTGCATTTCACAAACAGCTTTTACCGATTCATCGATCTCATTGGAGCAAATTGAATTTTTTCTATGTGCATCATAAAACATAAAGTTTCCTTTTTGTGTGGCATAGTCTGTTCATCTATTTTGACTGTGAAAACTTTGTGCAACACTTAGGTATCCAAAGGAAGTAAGCGTTGTTGTGTTACAAAATGAACAATTTCACAAATTTGGAATGAAGAAACAAACTGTTGCCCAGCAATTTATGTTGTTTTGTTTACTAAATCTGAAGAACTCCATAGCTTCCCTTACATTTTAGAATTGAAAAGTAGGAAACACTTAAAAAGTCAAATATAATTTTATTATGTGTCTTAAAAGTTTCTTCTCTACTGGCGTGCTGTTTCCATAATGAAAACTTTGTGGAACGCTTAGGTATCCGTAGTTAATTAAGTGTTGTGAAGCAAAGTAATTGGGAAAGAAAAACTAGTATATACAAATGAGTCAATTAGATTTGGGATCATTGAATCTATAATTGTCCATGTTTTTAAACAATTTTATGTTTGAAATCTTATACCAAATTGTCAAAGTAATTGCAGAATTACTTTAGCATATAACTCTAATCAAAACAGACTGAAAGTCAAAATTCAGGAAGTTAAGCTTAATCTGCATACTTACATATACCCTCTTCCCTTTCATCCACATAACTTATTTAAAATGTAAATTAACTCATCAAAATTCACTCTGGAATTTATTATTACGTCTCAGGAGCTTCTCATTTACAGTTCTCTTCCTACCTGTCTCTTGAATTGTATGACTAGGTCTAGAAGCCTTTATCATAGGAAAAGCTTGACATTCTTGCGTTAATCACGCATCACTAAAGTCTGATAACTCGTCATCATTTAATCATGTTCGCTCCCTTTCTGACTAGCTAAAAATCATGAAGGCATGTGCACACACCAAAATCAATTGCAGTAAGCGCTTACATAATTGGATATAAGTAATTACCGTTAAGTGAGTCTGAAGTATGTTCATCATACAGTCTCAGTTTAAACTTTGAAATAGGATAAAATCATGTCAGAAGATATCAATTGGAATATGCTCAGTGTTGAATGCCACTGTATAATGTAGCCAATAATATAGCAGGAATATATTACTGTATGTAAGATTTGAGGTTTTCACGGCGGTGAGTATGAAGATTTCTGTCTTCTGGGTTGTTGCGCTGTGTAGTCTGGTAGATGTTTACCAACGTTTCAGAGGTCATACTGCATCTGTCATCAGGGCAATGAATATGACGACAGAGGCAGTACGACCTCTGAAACGTTGGTTAACATCTACCACACTACACAGTGCAACAACCAAGAAGACAGCAATCTTATTACTGTATGCTGTGTATGTTATGAAATGTTACACAGGGTCTCAGAGTTATTGGCTTCTCAGGAACCACTTTATTCCAAGGCATTAGAAACATTTTAGTTGATTCTGTTAAAGAAATGGAAACTTCATAGTTTTCATCAAATTATTATGTGTTGACATCTGAATGCATTATTTTATACGCTATCTGGCTCAGTAGATACATTACTTGCTCTGATACCTGTGATAGGAATCAGCATTCTTACAGAAATAATGTTAGTCTTTTTTAACAAACGAAAATTAATTTTTCATTGCTTTCTCCAGATGGAGCACTTTTACAGTTCTCTAATATTCCTTATCTTACAGTGCTAATAGAATTTAACACATTTTTCTCAACTCTGTAGTATGTATTTACGTTTCAAATAAACTGTATTAAAATACAGTTTTTTATATCAGGAGGGAGGAAGGAAAATTTAAGAAGACATTCAAAAAATCAAACGAGTGCAATTTGTGACACTCCCAAGTCAAGAATTAAGAAATGTCAAAAATTGTGCAGCAGTAGGCAAGTTTATCATTAAATTCACCATGATGAAGACAGCTGGATCACAACTTCTGAACAAGTTCATTTCCTAATTACTGGAACAAGATGTTTTTACTTAAAACTGAATTAATTTGAGGCAAAATATGAATAGGGACATCCAGAACATGAAGCAGAGATGCTAACCACTGCATTACACTTCTGTTTACTCTCTGATTAATAGATTTTTCAGTTATTTAATGACACTTTTAATTACAGAGTGCATATCATCACTTATGGAAAAGTCATTAAATGCCATCTTTATCAAAATCCAATTATCTAATGCATCAAACTGAAGTTGTTCACAAGTAAGCATATAAAAGTTTATAACTGAATGATGTCTTGATATTTTGCTAGAGGAACAGAGTTTGACATTTTATTAAGAATTTAGATGTAGCTGTGTGAAAAGCTGTAAGATTAATTTTGCTTCAGACCTTCTTGAATTCAGTTAGTGACTTCTCACATGTCCTGATGTATTGTCATAAAATTGTTAATGTAATTATGAATAGTAAGTTTGGAAGGAATTGAGAGGAGATGGTAGTTGGCTGTTTGAAGGTTATGGCGTTCACCTAAAGAGTCAGTACTGGGACAGGTCTCAGTCAAGATAGCCAGTAACCCTATCAAGATTCGAACCGATTATTCTCTAAAGCATTTCCGATTCACTAACCTGCTCTGTTACATTTCCTGGGGTTCATTCAGTCATGTGGGAAAGTTATGAGTAGACTGCAGAGATTACGAAACAAGAACGGGGATCATGGAAACTCACTGGGATTTGAGATTCATGGAGGTTAGGTTATTTTCGTAGGTCTGTGATAGTCAAGGCCGTCTTCGCGTAGATAATTGACCTGCCCTGCCCCAAGGGATAAAAGCCACCACTCTAAGTAATTATTTTCTGCTAGTTTCGTACATCGATTTTCCACAAATCATAGAAATGGTGCTCTTGGAAGGTAAGAAGGTATCTGCACTGACGTCGCCTCAGAGCAGCGACGGCTAACCAATGATAATGAAGGGCAGTTTGTTTGGCACGTCAGAGAGGAGAGAAATGGAGTGTTGTTTCCCCAACGATATTTTGTAATGTCAGAAATCTTTGCCAATTCATTTGTGTTAATCTGTCAAATACGTTCGAACACATCCTATTTAGCACAGAAGAACTACTCTTTGACGTGGCCATAACTTGTAGCCCTCTACAGTATGCATTTACCACTAACTGCGTGGAGCAGACTCCTTAAGAAGCTGACAGTCACTAAGTTATCCAAGACATTTTCTGTCTTTATGAAAGTCGAAGACTCATTACCATGTTCACAAAGCCTGCCAGTGGTTTCTGTCCAGAGCTGGATGAATCCAGTGTACATCTATTTTATTGCTTCAAGATCGATTTTAATATCATCTTCCCATCTACGTTCTGGGCTTCCAAGTGGTCTCTTCCGTTCAGGATTTTTCGACTAACATTTTGTATGCATTTTTTATCTCCGCTGTAGTTGCTATTTGTCCAGCCCAACTTATTCTCCTTAATTTGTTCAGTTAGTAATATCTGATGAATTACGATCTAAATAGAAACCGATGTGAGTTCATATGTTTATCGAATAACACCGACCATATTATCTTATATAACTTTGTCACACGTGGTATGGCTCCGTGGAAACATCACTTAATACGAAACGTTTTATCTTTACGCACTTAAAGGCTTTGAAAGCGGTGTAAGCACGTGACTCTTCAGTAAGTGGTTAAGAGTGGTACACAGGTCATATAAATTTCTGTCAGCTGCTGTATATTTTTTTCGGTTGAAACTTAAGGGACATATTTGGTTTATTGGACGTTCTTTAAGTGGAAATTCTGAAAGCTGTTTGTTTAATCTCGGCACCGCGTATGTGTATTGCTATATGAAATATTCTCACTTATTCCGTCTGCTTTTTAAACAAAATATTAAGACATATAAACATCTGTGTAGTATACTATTTCGCGATATCTTATACTAAAATAAAATATTACAAATGTTTAAATGAAGAACTTGGAAAAATATTGTGAGAAATTAATTGTTAATTGTAGCATACAGCACAATGAGGGACCTGCTGGTGTTGGTCTTCTAGGGAGGGATGAAGTTGGAGACAATATGTTTTTGGGAACCGTTGGTAACTAAACATCGACATCTTCTCCGCATTGAGAACTTCAAACCCCATACAAGAAATTCGTGAATTGTGAGTTACCTACCATTTCTTGTGTAGTCAAATCAAGGCGATTGCTGTGTATGTGCTGGAGCATGTAGATCTGCTGTAGTGGAATATTTTTGAATACCGAAAAGTTATTAAGATGAAGGATAACATTAAAATGGATGAGGTAAATGGATTGAAAGGATGGGACATTAACGTTTATCGATAGATTGGGTAGGCTACTTTAGATTAATTTAACACACTGTAAGTCATACGTATTATATTAATTTTATTTATTTGTAGTTATTTAATGACACTTTTCATTAACTTAGACTATATATCGTGGAATGAATAATTAATAGTTAATTGGAAAGGATGTGACCTAATTAAAGATACTATCCCTGGAGGGACTGAGGAAAACCCTGAGGATAGCCTGTCTTCTGGCTAAGGATTGAACTTAGGAACACCCCCCCCCCCAACACGAAACAGGAGTTCTAACCACGACGGTAGGTATAATATTTTTTATTAGGCCTAGTAAGAAAAATGAAACTGGGATTGTGTGTGTATTGCAGTGACTGTACCTTATTGTAGAGTTGTTCTGTCTCTCGTGACTGATTTTCAAGGGTTTATTCGCTCTCTCGAGACGAATTTGCAGAGAGTGCCTTGAATTGTGATCATTTCTTGTTTCCAAATTACTTACTCGTAATAATAAATCGTCTTCTCATATCTTCTGAGCTTAGTGACTTCTATATTTTAAAGGTCGTTATTAAATACTCTGAAATCAAGATGTTATTAAAACAAGGACTTTATTAGAATTTAGATGGGATTCTCTGCTGTTATAGCAACAGGAAAGTTCATATTAATTATCCATGTATATGTAAATATTAGGCGACCGTCCATCCCACTCTGTTCCTCCAAAACGACGCGTCGTGAAAAATAACAAGAGCAAAAAATTCCTCTTCGAGAGACAACCCCGGGAATTTTTTTTTTCTATTCCGAAAATTACATATTTTCTTATATAATGACATAAAGAGATCCCGAAAATGACGTAAAATTTGTAAAGCAATATTAAATACATATTTTGGGATCGAGGATATCAAATGAACGGCGCAATGTCTGCCTTGTGTTGAGGACGTATTGGGCCAGAAAGCCTGCCGTGTTTACAGACGTGTTCCTGGTTTACCGTATTTCTTTCAAGCGAATGTCTGCTATGTACCCTGAAAATGGCCACGTATTTCTTTTTAATACACCTAACTGGCGTACATAATCAAAATTTGCAACATGTCATGTAATCTATTTGTCATGAGGACATTGTTTTATTATGGAAAATGCTTCAGTAGATGTGTTTTCCTATCCCATAATTTGCCTGGAGGGACTGAGGAAAGTCACGAGAACTCCTCAGTCTTCGAACGGATATTTTAAGAAGCAGGAGTGCCTGCCGATATTGTTGTGCGCAAACTACACACAGATGATAAATAATTACTTTTTGTACATGTGCCTTTCTTCTCTGCGTTACTGAACGGAGAAAATGTTTTGCATAAGAGAAAATAAGTCGTTTCTGGTGCGGTGCGGGGGGAATGTTTACTGCCTGGTGGACTAGAGGGCTGCTATTGGTGGGAAGTGTGATACGTCAGAGTTTTACGCTACTACACACAGACTGAAAACATCAAGCAGTTAAAAGCAGCTTTTAGTGAGTGCACCTGTACTGTGTTCTGTGGGTGTTGTGATAATATTCTAGATTAAATCACTGTGCCACTGTGAGGTAATCTTAAAGCTGTACCCACTAGAACACATGAAAGCCTATCGTCTGTTGCCCGTTCAGTGGTTGTGGAACGAATGCTTTAAGGATCGGTCGTCACTCGCTGCGAAATGTCGCGCATGCGCGTATAACCAATTCCTAGCAGGGCCTTTCTCCTGGTCTGCGGACTGTAGCTGTGGGGGTCCGACCCGCGGACCTACCGAATGCGGCTTCAAACGCCGAGTGCCATGTGGTATTCGTTACAAACAAGTGAGTGTGTGCGATTTAGAGAGATTTTAGAGTGGAAACCTTTCATCACGGCAGAACGTATTTATCCATGTGCGTGGTTCGGTATGCGGACGGCAGGTGGTCCCGCGGCAGAGGATCTCCGACCCGACACAAAAACACGACAGGTTTGTTATGTGCAATAATGCGTCATATCCTCCGTATATCCACTTACAGGAAGAAACAGTGGCATCTGGTATATAAGTAACTAATTTAAATATTTATATACAAAGCTATTGGTTCAGTGGCGGATTATGAGTCTAGGTAGAAGTGGGAGCCAGAATATTGCGTAGGGTTTAAAGGTTTAAAGAGGAATATTGTCACACGACGTGTTTATTTTCATGTTCGATCATGTTTATTTTGTATTGTTTCACTGATATATTAAATTATATTATGACACTTTTTTGATGTGTGTGCTCTTCTGATTTCTGAACTTGATGAGCTTTTGCTCGTTGGTACATAAGAACAATCTGGAATAGGCATATTGCATACTGGCTAACCCAATGTTCACGGTGAATTTATTACAGATCAAAATTTGCGACTTCTTTGATATTAATTTAATTGGAATGAATCTTGGATTACTTTATACTACGTTCATGTGTTAACAAGTTTCCTACAACGTGCATGCAGTGTTTCTCACACTGTGGATCGCAACATTCTTTGGAGACGCAAATTATTATTTTTTTTGGGGGGGGGGGTTGTTACCGTCTATTTGTGCTCAATTTTCTGCTTTACTTGTCTTGCATGCTATACTTGCAATTCAATACACTACTTCAGGACAATGAGTTGAAATGGATTAAGCGATTGATGCCGAAGCTTGCCTAAACAACACTTCAGAATTCAGCCCGTATCGCAGATAACACTTCATCATTATGAAGTTCAGTTTGTTCATTCAGTTTAAGGAAATAATCGCTGTTTGTATTGAAAGTCATAGGAAACTAGTAAATGCAAACTGCAGGAATCAGTGATTGTTTAATCAGGTGAGACATACAGGGTGATTCAAAAAGGACTTTACAACTTTGAAAGTGTATAGAAATTTATTCAGAAGGCTTACAGAATCGGTTGAGGTGTCATTTTGTAGAAAAACAAATCAAGTTTTACCTCAAACAGTCATTTTGGTTCGATGTGATTGCCATTGGTGATACTGCAGACATCCCACCTGAAATCAATTTCTTGCCAAACACGATCCAGCATATC